GACTGGCTAAAGAAGCTGTGGTACATATGTATAATGGAATATTACTCAGCTATAAGAAGAGATGAAATACTGCCATTTGTGACAACATGGATGGACCTTAAGATAATCATACTAAGTGACATAAACCAGACAGAAAAGGTTGAAAATCACATGATACCACTTATATGTGAAATATAAACCTAAAAGCAACAAATGAACAGGACAAACAAACAGAGACTCATGGACATGGACAATGGACTAGTGCTTACCAGAGGGGGGTGGGGGGTAGGGGTGGAGGTAGACGGGTTAAAAGGGGTCAAATATGTGACAGAAATCTAACTATGAGAGGCGCACACACAGTATAAATATATACGTGCCTTACTGTTAAAGTATACAGCTAAAACTTATTGGATTTTGTTAACCAATGTCATCATAAAAAAATTAACTCATAAAAAAATCAATAACCTAAATATAAGAGCCAAAATTATAAAACTCCTAGATGTAAACATAGGGATAGATCTTTATGACATTGGACTTGGCAAGAGATTCTTGAATTTGACACCAAGAGTATAAGTAGCAAGAAAAAAATAGATAAATTCAATAAAAATGTAAAAGTTTTGTACATCATAGGACATTATCAAGAATGTGAAAAACAGCCTACAGAATGGGAAAACATATCTGCAAATCCTATAGCTGATAAGAGCTTAATATCCAGAATATATAAATAACTTTTACAACTCAATGAGAAAAAGATAAACTACCCAAGTAAAAAATGGGCAAAGGACTTGGAGAGATATATCTCCAAAGAAGATATACAAACAGCTGACAGGTACATGAAAAGATGTTCAACAACATTTGTCAATAAAGAAATTCAAATTAAAGCCATAATGAGATACCGCCTCACACTCACTAGGATGACTTTCATATGAACAGCAACAAAAATGAAAATAACAAGTATTGGCAAGGATATGGAAAAATAGAAATCTGAACATTGCTGGTGAGAATATAAAGTGGTGCAGTTGCTGTGGACAACACTTTGGTGGTTCCTCAAAAAGTTAAATATTGAGTCTATGGCCATGCCACCCTGAACGTGTCCAATCTCGTCTGATCTCAAAAGCTAAGTAGGGTCGGGCCTGGTTAGTACTTGGATGGGAGACCACCTAGGAATACCAGGTGCTGTGGCGTTAAAAAAAAAAAAAAAGTTAAATATTGAATTACTATAGGGCCCAGTAATTCCAATCCTAGGTAGATACCCCAGAGAAATGAAAACATATGTCCACACAGAAACTTATATACAAATGTTTATAGCAGTTATTATTCATAATACCCATTAGGTGGAAACAACTGAAATGTCCACCAATGGGTGAATGAATGGATAAACAAATTGTGGCACATATGTCCAATGGAATATTATTCAGCCATAAAAAGAAGAAAATACTGATACATGCTACAGCTTGTATCAGAGCCTTGAAAACATCGTACGCTACGTGAGATAAGCCAAACACAAAAGGTCACATGCTGTGTGATTTCCTTTTATGAGATATATTCAGAATAGGAAAGTCCATAAAGACAAACAGCAGATTAGAGGATACCAAGAGATGTCAGAAAGGGGCAATGGGGAATTATTCCTTAGAGGAGTTATGGAGTGTTTTTTATGGAGTGATGAAAAAATTTCGAAACTAGAGAGAGCTGATGGTTGCATAGCATTGTGAATATACTAAATACCACCAAATTGTACATTTTTAAATGGTTGATTATATGTTATGTGCAATTACTTCATAAAACCTTAGCAACACTTACTTTTAGATTTTGAGTATTAAATTTTAATAACTTTTAAAAGCTAAAGTGCCTTTCACTTGTATACAAAAAACTGATGGACACGCACATCACACTCCAAGAACAATCCAAGAAAGGGCTTGCAGTTTGGAGTCTGTTAGTCTATTAGGAGACCAGTTGTGGCCCACCAGTAGGCGGTACACAGCATTTAAGAATCAATGATCTGTCACCTCCCAGGAACATGACTCGGCTGCTGTGGACAGGCACAACTGTTAAAGGGTACGGGGCACAAAGCCTGGGACTGGAGTCCTCAGTGAGGTTGAAGGGCATGGTACAAACTTGATGGCTATGCTTGTGTGAAATGGGAAGGAGAAGTGGGAAAGAACATATATTTTCTGCTCAGGCTATAAGCAGGAGGTGACCATTCCCACTAATGGAAGTTACCCGAGTATGTTCCATATTTGTATATCATAGTTAAAAGTAAGCCTGAAACCGAAATCCAGTCAGTTGATGACTTGCCACTGGGTTTCAGTCTGAAAAAAAAAGTCATGGACGCAACCATTTTCCAGTCCCCAAACCTCTGTTGCTTCTCCTGCAGCAGAGTTGGAGGCAAGCTTGCATTGAATAGATCTTTGAACCCCTGGCATACTTTTTCCGCTCCCAGGAAGAACTTCCCTGTCAGATCTTACCTGGACAAGGCACCTCTTGGTTGCATATCATGCTCCCCTGCCTGGTAATGACATACAATCCTGGAGCACCAAACCAGTAACTTACACTTCCAAGTGGAATTCCTCGGGCAGCTAAGAAGACAAGTTTGACAAAACAGGACTCTTTAATTCTTTTAAGTCAGATGTATAATGGCTATCAACCAAACGATTAACAACAGTATTAACCATCACCTTACATGAGTGTCCAACAATGTTCCCAGGATATAAGATGAAAAAAAGACACTGCCCTTGTTCTGAACTCTATGTTTCTTGAGGACAGAGACTATGGCTTATTTGCCTGTGCTTATTCAGAGTCTAGTCTAACATCTATAATAATAGGTATTTAGAAAGGATTTTCAAGTGAAGAATTCTATGAAGTTGGCAAGCTACATCCATTAAAGATCAATTTAATTGTAGAATGGTGCAGAAGAAAGCACTTCTGTTTGTCTCTCTCTGCATCTCTCTTTTAAGGGGCCTACCTGGATAATCTAGGGTAATCTCACCTCGAAATCCTTAAATTGATTATGTCTGCAAAGATTCCTTTTATAAATAAAGTAACATTCACGAGGTCCGAGGATTAGGACATAGATATATCTTTGGGAGTCATTATCAGCCTACCGCACTAATTTCTGGTCAGATGGCATGAACGGTAAGTAACGTATACTGCTTCCCAGCCTGGCCCATAAAAACCTCCCAGGTAAGAACGACTCTCGCCACCTCTGCTGGCTATCCAATGAGGCCATGGAAGCCATGTGTTAAACATGGCAGAGACTCTATTACCCTGAAGGGTCCCTGAAGGGTCCCTGAAGGGTAATACATGAGCCCCCTTTGATCTCTGCTGATTGGCCTTCACGTAATAAGTAATATCTATCGTCTTAAGCCACTAATGATTAAAATAATTCTAGCTATCTGATTCAATAGCTAGAATTGTTTTAATTAATTGACTATAAATCTAAAGTTGTCCTCCTTACTCCGTCACTCTCCTTTTCATATCCTATTAGTATGTATTCCCAGAAGAACTATTTTAATCTCTTATATGTTTGCTTTTTTTTATATGCCTCTCACTAGACCAAGTTCAACAAATGCAGGAACCACGTATGTCTCGTTTGCTGTTTTCTGTTCCCAATTGTCTCATCTAGTATTTGGCTCAATAGGTATATAAACATATATTTGTTAAAAACGTAACTCCAAGAACCTTGACAAATCAGCTCTGTAGAGGGGAAGGGACTCTTCCCTGATCAAAGAATCAGATCATGAAGCATTATAGGTAGTTAATTCCAAAGGCCTCAAGGAAGCCCATCTCACAAGCCCTGATTCTTGCCAGGGAGCAGGGGTAGGTTCCCACACCTATGCCGTGATGCAATCAGACCCAGAGCAGTTCCAGACATTGGGCCAAGTTCATATAAGTTGCCTAAATCCTTTCTAAGTAGCCATGCAACTGCTGGGACTCTGAACGTAGTTTTGCAGGCCACGAAGCAGAGAGCACAAAGAGGATCCCCTGAAGTTGCCTAACACTTAGCCCATAATCCTAAAAATGCCCCCTCAGTACTATGAGGCCAAAGATAAGAGTGAATTCAAGACCCAGCATGCAATTGTCCTGAGTTCCCCAGATACCTACAGCAAAAAGGAACTGGACTTCCGAGTGTCCCCTGAGTTTGGATTCCCAACAGCTGTACTCCCTCTGTCTATCAAGACTCCCTGTTATACAGCATCAGGCTTCCAGATCTCTGCCCTCTGGACCATGAAGACCTGTGGGCTGGGTACAGCTTGTGAACTCCTTGATCTATCTTTGAACTATATCATTAAAGGTAACTGTAAAAATTTTCTTACTCCTCAAGTTCCTATAATACGACTCTTGGATCATCTTTCTTTTCCACTGATTCACTGGAATCTCTCTTGCGAAGACCACAAACAAACTCAGATTTCCACGTGCAAAGCACATTTTTCAGTCTTCATCTTACCAATCATCTCTGCAGCAGCTGCCACAGACGAGCACCCGTACTGCTTGAAACTTTCTCCTCCCTTGACTTCTGGGGTAATAAACTCACTTGATTCTCCTCCTACCTCTCAGTCAGCCCCTTCTCAATTTTTATTGCAGGTTGCTCTTCTCTACCATTCCTTAAATGTTGAGGACCTTTATAACACTATCTTTAACTCACTAAATGAACCCATCACTCGTGGCTCCAGAGACGACTTGTGTGCTAAAGATTTCCAAATCAGTCTCTACATACGGTTCATCTCCGGAGCTCGGAACTGCATGTTCACTGGCATCTAGCATTCCCACACACCTCACACCCATATAGGGGGTAAGAGTACAGGCTCAAAAGGACACAGCATCCTTTACATAGTGTTCCTGCCAAAATATAATCCAAACATAGCCTGAATATAGTTCATGAGGAAACAGGCAAACCCAAACTAAAGGACATTCTACAAAACATCCTGTATTCTTTTTAAAATGTCAGTGTCACGAAAGACAAAGAAAGGCTGAATCCGAATTAAGAGACCAAAGGAATGGGCCAACTAAATTCAATGTTTGACCCAGGATTACTCATTTAGTGGGAAAAAAGTGCTATTAGAATCAGAAACTGTAATGGACCAATCCTTTGTACTTCAATATAAACTATATAATAAGTATTGTTTCAATGTTAAATTTTCTGAATTTGATAAATACACTGAGGTTAGATAAGAGAATGCCCTTGTTCTTGGAAGATACACATTCGAATATCTAGAAATGAAGGATATGATTTTTGTGACTTACTCCCAAATATTTCAGTATAAACGAAAGCAAAAACAAAAAAAAGATAAAACAAATATAAGAAAATGTTAATAATGGGTAATCTAGATGAAGAGTCCATGCTAATTCATTGTAATATTCTTGAAACTTTTCTATACATTTAATTTTTTCAAAATAAAATGTTTAAAAAGAGAGAAAGAATAGGGTTCAAATTCCAGCTCCATTGCTTGCTAACTGTATAGCCTTGGGAAATTATATAACAATCACTGACTCAGTTTCCCCAGCTATAAGTTGGGAATAATGATAGTATCTACATCATAAGGTTTTTTGTGAGGATTAAATATATTGACACATGTAAAGGGCTTGGAACAATCTAGTATATGTTAAGCATTCAATAAATGTTAGCTAAGATTATTATGTCTAAAATTAAATTCATTTCCTCTCCAACTTAGACTCTTATATTCTTGACCATGGTTTATAGCATCACGAGCCAGTCAGTCTTCTAAGGTAGAACCTTCACTCCGTCTTCTATGCGTCCCAGCACTGTGTCCACGCCTCTATTACAGCACATGCCATAGGCAGGATAACATATGTGCATATGTGTCTCTACTAGACTGTGTCTCAACTAAATTGGAGTTGATGTGGAAGGCAATGGAGAAAGGAAAAGAGTGTTCCAGATAGAGCAAATAGCATGAAGTCTCAGAAGTGAGAGAACAAAGCACAAAGAACTCCAGTTGGACTGGAGTACAAAAGGTGGGAGAGTGAAGGACATGAGTGAGGCTGGACTGAATAAAAGTACCTCATAAAAATTATTTGTATTCAATTCTGAAAGAGTCATTTGGCATATCCATTAGAGCAGCGCTATAGGGCTTGACAGTATCCCTTCCCTCCTCTCATGAAAGATGGAGACTAAACCTAAGAGAAACAAAGGCAAAGCCAGAGAAAAAAATGACAAAAAGGCATGCCAGGGGAAGAACTGCTGGGGCTCCCTGGCCTGAAAAAGAGACTACTCAGTGATATATGAGACCAGCATTTAGAAGGACAAAAGACTATCAGGTACACTTAGTCACTCAGGTGTCTGCAAACTCCTCAGGAAAGGGGAAAATCTTTGTGCTCCCAGCACATAGTATGGTGCTTGGCGCACAGTAGGTAGACTCAGGAAATGCCTGCTGAATACATATGCAGCCACCAACTGCCTGACTGGAGTGGCCAGAAAATCTTGACTGGGTAAAAGTCCTACTTTAAGTCCACAAGCCTCAAAACCTCAAACTGCTTAAGATCTTTATTGTTATCGCTCACCGGCAGAGGCAGCTTTTGTCATCAACTGGGCAAATTCGATGGCACCTCCTTTTCTGAAGGCTAATTTAAAAGTAGCCTGTCCTTCCCAGTCACCTGCGGGTAGAAACGGCACACACTAAGAGGCTGGCATAGCTGGTTACAGAAGGACTACCACGAACACCGAGAGAAGCAATACCCAAAGAAACTGGGCAGCTTTCCTTTAATTCCAACATGAGCCATATCTGAAACTTAAACCTTCTGGAAGCTTTTGAGAAAAAAAATACATGGCTGAAGGTAAACACTTACCATCTGGAGCTGCCTGAATGGTTCCTTTAATGCAGTTGGGGGCAAAGACTGGTTGTTCAACAGTGCAGTTACTCATCAGATTAAATGGCATCATAAAAGAAAGCATGGGATCATTGACTGAGTGTGAAGTTACGAAGATTACCTAAGAGAGGAAAGAAATTTTGGAAAAGGAATGCGATTTGTCCATGGATTGAGACCTATAAGAGCACTTCTAAGGTCAAGGTTGCTTTGATATTCTGGTGTGAGAAACATCATCCATTTTCTGCTATTGTTCTTCAACATGGCATATCTCAAAGTGCAAATATTTTAAAACACTTTGAACCTCAATGGTTAACTTCGCTCCATTTTAAAGAAAACTAATGTAGAGTTAATCAGATCAAAGAAACAAGTAGAAATTACCCGGTATGAAGTGAGAAACAATGTTCCCCTCTTTATACCACTAAAAAGATTGGATCCCTCTGGTTGCTGTAGGAAAGAGAGGTCCACATCCTGACACTGCTTCAAGACACTGCAGAAAAGAAAGAGTGGACAGCAAACAATTTAGAAGTTACATAAAGTGACAAATGAAGCTCTTTGCACAGTTCCTAGCCCAGAGCCAGCACTCAATAAATGTTAGCGGCTGCTGCTATCACCACTTTTATTGAAATAGAAAGGAGTTTAAATGATCTCATTCTCTGACAATTCATACTTATTCTTCTCCCTCTTTATCTTTGGATTATTTTTCTTATCAAATCTACTTCTTTCCTTAATGTTTATTCATCAATTCTTTTACTGTTTGTGTAGTAACTATCAAGCACTGTGCTAATGGAAATGTTTCTTTGACTCTGGTAAAGAAGGCATGCAGAGTGCTCCAGAATCTGCTGGCATGTCACTCCCTCTGCCTGCCATGTTCTATCCTCACTCTTAATGTGAAAAACTTGGATTCATCTTACTCTCACTCATAGAATTCTACTGGGTTTTTTTCTTTCTTAGTGTTCATTATATTTATTTGTCCAATGTCTTTCCTAATGACTATTAGGGACAATGTCTGCCTTCTTTGCTACCGCAGCCCTAGCAAACGGTGGGTGCTCATAAACATTTATTGAAAGAAGGAGTAAATGAAAACATGAATACAGGTAAATAACACAAGCAATATATAACATACATCACATAAATGGCACAAAAATGTCATGGCAATTAAGTGGAAGGGGAGATTAGTTCTAGTTGAAATAACTAGGAATGACTTTATAGAAAGGTTGAAATTTGAGCTGATTCTGAAGAGATGAATAGTGTTTCAGTAGGCAGAGGTGAAGGTAGGAGACAATCTTGATGGGGACCAAACAGCATTAATGGAGATGCTGGGGCAGCATTACTGGAGGTGTGCAGCACAAAGCAAACTACATACATGGAAGCAGACCACCTGTATGGAAGTGAGGTTGGGAGGAATAGTGAGATAAAGCTAGAAAGCCATGCTGGGACTATAACTTGGAGATATCATTTGATAGGCAAGGAGGAACTGAGCTGCGGCCATCCTGGCAGGGTCGTCATATGATCAAGGAGATGGCAGTATGTTGGAGGGGCCCGTTTAAGTTTCTAAAATAGTCCCGATCTGCAGTAATAAGAACTAAAACTAGGGTGGGGGTGAGCGGATACAAAAGGCTTTCTAAAAGACTATGAATATAAGGGATGTCAGCAAAAATAGTGGAATAGGGAACTCCAAGTCAGTCCAGAACCCTAAACTCTAATCAAAAGCTTACAGCATCCAGAGAAATGTTTAATTAAGAAAAAAAAAATGACAGCTTTCTTTGAGGAAGACACAGTAGCAGCTGCAGCGGAGCAACATTCTGCACGCTACTGCTCCTGACTCACCGCTGTCCGCTCTCACGGAGGAACAAGTTGGTCAGGAAGCCGCGCTGCAGCCTTGGATTTTAAAGATACCAGAAAGACACCCGTGGAACCAGAGGTGGTGATTCACTGAATTAGAATTACTCCGACCAGCTGCGACGTAAAATCTTTGGAGAAAGTGTGTGCTGACTGGATTAGAGGTGCAAAGGACAAGAATCTCAAAGTGAGAGGACCAGTTCAGATGCCTACCAAGACTCTGAGAAGCACAAGAAAAAGCTCCATGGAGGGAAGGTTCTAAGACTTGGGATCGTTTTCAGATGAGGATCCACAAGCAACTCATTGACCTGCACAGTCCTTCTGAGATTGTTAAGCAGATTGCTTCCATCAGTATAGGAGTCGAGGCTGAAGTCACCACTGCAGATGCTTAAATCAGCCTTTTCAATAAATTGACCATCAGTTGTTAAAAAACAAAACTAACTAACAAACAAACAAAAAAACGACAGACCAATATCCCTGAATATAATGTCACATTAAAAAGATTATATACCACAGCCAAGTGGGATTTATTCCGGGAATGCAAGGACGGTTCAACATATGAAAAATCAATCAATGTAACAAAACCAGAACAGCGATATGATTCAGCAATCCCACTCCTGGGTATTTATCCAAAGGAAGTAAAAACAGGATATCGAAGAGATGTCTGCACTCTTATGTTCATTGCAGCATCACTCACAAGACCCAACATACAGAACAACCTAAGTGTCTGTCAATGAATGAATGGATAAAAAACATGTGGTGCACACATGTGCATGCACGTGCACACACAAAGGAATATTATTTGGTCATAAAGAAGGAAATTCTGTCACATGATACAACATAGATGAATCTTGAGGACATCATGCTAAGTGAAATAACCCAGAAAGAGGACAAATACTGTATGATCTCATTTATATAAGGAATCTAAAAGAAAAAAGAAAACAAGTCAAATGCATAAAAGCAGAGTAGAATAGTAATTACCAGAGGTTCAGGAGGTGGGAGAAATGAGGAGATATTGGTCAAAGAATACAAATTTACAGTTATGTAGGATGCATAAGTCTAGAGACCTAATAGGCATGATGACTATACTTAGTAATATTGTACTAAGCACTGAGAATATGCCAAGAGAACATATTTCAGGTGTACTCATTACATAAAAAAATGATAACTATGTGAGATGATATGTTAATAGTTTGATTACAGTAACTATTTCAATATGTATATGTATAATAAATCATTATGTTACACATCTTAAATATATACAATTTAAATATCCTTAAATGATAAAGATGATAGATTTTCTGTTAGGTGTTTTTTACCACACCAAAAAATAAACAGCTTAGTAAAAATGGAGAAAATTCATGAACCAAGAAAATTTGTCAAAGACATATAACTACTCAATAATCATATAATCAAAAAATAAGTTCACTAGCAGTAAAATTTTTTTAAAAGATTCCATTATTCACACATCAAGACTGGCAGAGATATCAAAGATTAACACCAGGTGTTGGCAAAGTGTGGTGAAATGGGCACTCACAGTACTGAGAGGAATGTAAATTGATATAATTCTGTAGGGTAATTTTGCAAAAAAAATATTTATACGTATTTATATTTTATAACAGTTTGACAAGAATTTTTATATTATAAAAATATTTTTTAAATCTTTTTTTAAAAAGTTTATGTCCTCTGATCCCACAAGTCTACTTGCAGAAACATATCTCAAAGAAATATTTTGACAAGTGGCCAAAGATAAGTTTTCAAAAACGTTCACTGAGGCAATATTTATAGCAATGACAAATTAAAACCAGACTATCCCAGATAGGGGCTTGAGGAAAGACTTATGCATACTAGAATACCAGCCATTGAAAATAATAATTTAGATATTGATACTGAAAAGCATTCTCAATATATTGGTAAATGAGGAAAACAAGTTCCAAAGCAGTATGAGGGGAGGAAATGTTTATTTTTCCATCAGGGAAAGTGAAGGATACATAACAAAATGTAAACAGCATTGGGTGTCGGAATCTGGGGCAATTTAATTTTTTTCTAATTTTTCTGCAATAAATATATACGGTATCTGCACAAGTTTTAGAAAGATGGTCAAAACAAACAAACAAACACAAACCTCAATGTCTTCCCTTTTTACCAGTAGAGTCTGGATTCTCATGACTTCTCAGCTAGAAGGGGAAAAACATCTCACAAAACACAGCCAATTTGTGATGAATTTCTCAAGTGTGCATTGTGAACAGGCAGGAAAAGTCAAAATATAACCAACCTTCTCCCTCTCAAGCTATTTCTTTAAGCCAGAGCCCTGACAAGACCTCCTGTGATGAGAATGCAGAACAGTAGTCCTTTTCCTCTGTGGGACAGCAGAGTAGAGTTTAAAGCACATTATCCAAATTCAAACCCAAACCTCAGCTCGCACATGCACTGGCCGTATAACGGAGGGCAAATTACTTTTTTTGTTTCCATTTCTTGCCTGTGAAATGAAGGAAATGCTACTGATCCTAATTGTGGAGAGAGCAGCGTTAAGTATAAAACTCTCAGAACAGTGCTTGGCTGTGATTAAGTTACTCAAGAGCACAGAACGGACCCTTAAAGATAATTCAAAGGATCATAAAATATCAGTTCGTTATAATTGTTTTAAAACAGGCTTCATTTCCTGCCTCCAACAAACAGAAAAGCAGAGAGACAAACCGGTAACCTGAGTGAGGAGACACCCAAAGCCTGATTTAGAAGTGCTTCACGGCCCAGAGTGGGTCACAGGCACAAGGGGCGAAGTGCCCCGGGCCAGAGTGCACGGAGACGTCGCGGTCAGAGGGAGCAATCGCCTCCTACTGCAAAATCGAAGCAAGCAGCAGAGGCCCTTCGGGAGCAACGCAGGACGCATGGCTTTGGTGGCCCGTTTAAATCTGTCAAGAAAATGGTCGGGGGAAGGAAGCATAGGAAAAAAGATCTGGACACCAGCATGTGGTGCTGTCTTAATGGATCTTCCCGACAAACGCGTTCAACGCAGCCGAGGGCGCTCGGTCTCACCTGAGCACAGCGCTGGGTTTCAGGCCGCACGGCCCAGGGAGCGCATAGCAAAACGAGGGCGATTGGAGCGGAGAGAGGAGCCTGATTAAGGGGAGCGCGGCGGGGAGGCCGAGCAGGACTCTGCGGGAAGCTGGGGGCCCGAGGCATAAGGGGAATGGGGTGAAAACGGTCTCCTACAGACTGAGCCTGCTGGCGGTGAGAGGAGAGGCGACAGCGGCGGGCACCGCGGGCACGGAGCAAAGAGCCTAGCGAGGCCGAGGGAGCGTCATTCTTTCGATCGTCTCCATAAAGGGCAGTCATCTCCCTGGTTGGGGCCAAGAACAAAAGGCCCTCTGGGAAGTTCTGAGAGTGTGGAGAGGCCCCCGACACTTCGGGATCTTTCTAGAATGATCCACCCTCATGCCTCTTCTGCCTGCGGAAATCCAGAACCTTGTTCCCGGGGATAGGGGGAGGGGCTGCACCTCAGTCGCAGGGGCGGCGCGACTCCCTACGACCCTCAGGGTGCTCCCTCCCTTCTTCTGAGGCGACGACGCGCGCCGCCCACCCAGCGCCCGCTCCTCGTCCTCACGCACGAGGAGGCGCGCTCCCGCCACCTTCCTCACACACCAGCTGGCGCGCTCCCGCCCGCGCCTACGGAACACCCACGAGGCAGTGCGCGCGCCCCAACGTCGGGGGCGGAGCTAAGCGGGACCGGCGAACAAGGCGGGAAGGCACCTGATTCGCTGGGAGTTTGCGAGCCGCCCCCGGTCGGTCACCTCCCTCCTCCACCAGCACCCCGGGCGTCCCCTCAGGCACCTTTCGCCGTAAGGGATGATGGCTCCACGGCGATTCTCCGTGTGGCTCTGGTTCACCGCCATCGTGCTCCCGGCCCCTCCTGCCGCCCCTCAGATGGGAAGGGGCGGGGCTCCGAGGCGGAGGGCGGAGATTATGGCGCAAGGACGGGCAGTGAGCGGACGAGGCGGCTGGTCACGTGAGGGGCAGTCGTCAGAGGCCCGCAGGAAAGCGGGTGGATTCGGGGCGTTGACTCCGCCGCCAGGGCGCGGAGGGGTGAGTGATGGGTGGGTGGCCCCCTCCACCCGCACCTGGCCGCTTGGCCCGTGCGTCCTCGCCCCGCGTGGCAGCCGCGCTACCCGGGGCGGGAACTCGAATTAGTCCTGTCAGAAATCAAAGTTAAAACAGGAGTTTCCAGCACCCTCCCTAGCTCATGTCAGGAAGCTGCTGCCCTTTGGAGAAAGGGTCTACAATGGTTGCCTGCTTCTATTAAGGCGAGTAGAACTTTTTCCCACCAGAGAAAGCTGATTTCTTATGAGGCAGCACCCAGGACAGGGAGCGTGAGCTGGGTCAGGAAGTCAAAGGGGAGTCCGGGCCACCTCCAAGGTGGAGAGAGCCTGTGTCGTCCATCGTACCTGCCCTGCCACCTCCAAAGGGTGACCGTGAGGATCCAGTGGGATATATGATACCGGAAGTGCTTTGAAGACTGGAATGTACATCCCTTTTTTTCTTTGAACTTCACGAATAGCCCCAGGGGGTTCCAAACAAAGAGGCGTTAATATCTTTTGGACTACTGTATTTCATCAAATTTAAGATGCTGTCAGTTATGATACACCATTTCAAATGTACCACTAAGAAAAAAGTTGCCAATAGACATGTCATCAGTTGTAAGCTGTATCCTGATTTCAGAACTATATATATTTTTAAGTGCAAGACTATTAGAACAGACAAAGTACAATAGGAATGGTGTGAAGCAATGGAACAAGCATTGAAGTCTAGTCCCGTCTTGCATTGGTACCTAAATGTGCAACTTCAGGCAAGACAATTATGCTTTCTGGACTTCAGGTTCCATATGTGTCTAAAAGCATTGGACTAGAAGAACTCTTTTTTTCTCTTAGCTGTGACATTAAGTTCACATAACTGTTCTGTTGCTCAAATCTCACGTCTCTTCATCTGGGTGTGGCCTTGCACTCTAGTTCCAGCCCTTATCATTGTAATTGAATGACTCCAAGAGCCTCCTGATTGGTCTTCCTCCAGTCTTGACCCCTGATTGTTCATCTATACTTTGCATTCACCCTACGGAATGTTGAGACCCCAAATGCCATTGCATATATGATCATCACATTCAAATTCAGAGACATAATATACAGGTGAAAGTTGTATTATTTGTTGGCTACAAAAGAGAGTAGGAACCTCAAATAGAGGAAGGATTGATTTAAGTTCAAAAAAGACAAGGGATAAGCTAGTACTTTAAATTGAAATTCTTAACTCTTAAAAGTATTCACTGTAAAACAGGCAAGTCTCTAGGCAAAATGAGTTCATTCTTTTGATAGACTTGGTTTGTATGCCTTCAGGAGTAAGGAGGAAGGGAAAAGCTAGGAAATTCGATGAATGAAAATCATTTTTTTCACTGATGGAGACAGGCTAGGCAGAGCACAACATCCCTCACGATCAAGTGTGATGGCTCCCTCACGATCAAGTGTGATGGCTTCCTCACTCATTTTGGATACAAAATCCCAGGGAATAATAATGACCGGGGTTCAAACTTCATGCCAACGAAAGACAAACTGACCTTACAAATGTTTTCCATCTTGAATCTCTGTGGCTACTTCTTACCAAGACAGTCCACATCTCACCCTCCATATATGGGTGAAATGAAGTAATGGCTGTTCGGCCAAGGAGGGAGGAGTACAAATAAGACACGGGCCAGACAATTATTGTTCAAACAGCAATGTTTAGTTGTACAACACATAAAGTCTAGCAACATTTACACAACCAGTTGAGTCTGTTGGCTTATTTTCAATTGGGAAATTTAACCATAATGTCACCAAAAGGTTCGCTGGGACTGGTTACATTTAAGAAATGGGTCGTTCTTGCACCCCCCTGGCTTGGGCCTCTTGCTCCATCAGGACTTGGTTGTAGATGAATGGCCCACAAGTCACCAGCCTTTGAGCAAGTTGTGTCCAGGTGGAGATGGGGAGGGGGTGGGAAGGGAGGCAATTTCATAAAGACACAGTGTGTGGGGCAGTGGCAGCCGACATTCGCAAACATTCATGCATCTGATGGGGGCCCTTGCCCTCCATTAGGTATTTTCCACTAGCCTACAGTGACCAACTGTGGCCAGGCTCATTCATTTTTACTCACATTAACAGGGTGGAGGTGGCGGGGTAGGAGTAATTGGGGTAGGTAGGAAGAGATCTCTCTTATTGCTAAGTGGACAGATGGGCTTTTTATCTCCCTAGAGTTCACATCTTGTAGGGGTCTGGAGTTTAGTTCTGTGTTTAGTTCTTTTTTTTTTTTTTTTTTTTAATTTGAGGGTAAGGAAGTCAACTCCAGAAACATCTTTTCGAGAAAACTACTCTTGCTAAGCGGCTGTATTATGGGGTATGAAGCGTGTGTAACCACACTCTGGGCCAGATTTTTTTTTTAAGAAGTGTTCCTAGCCCTTGCTGCCCAACATCTGTAGTGACCCATCCTCATAAATAAGCTTTAAGCAATAAAGGAGACACCCTTGTCCCACATCGGGGCTCACACGGCTGACGTCAATGAATCTGACAAGCAGTAAAGTGGCTTTCTGGGCCCTTTAAAGAAACCAAGAGTAGCTCATGCAGATGGACAGGGAGTGATGCCATTTCCCTTGAGATGGTTACAAGTAGCTCGTATGGGTTTGCAAGGGTAGAAGAAGCTCTTGATGAGTTCTTCACCTTACAGATGGGCAGGGACCGGCTGACACAGACGATGGAGAAGGGCAGTGCTGGCGAGAACTCCATTCCACTGGGAGGAGAGGGGCGTTTGGATAAATGGAGGCAACTGTTCTAAAGAGGCAGCTGGCCCCTCCCACCTGCTTGGGGCCGAGAGGGCCTGTGGAGGTCAGCTGGACAAACACAGCCCTAAAAAGGCCATGGAGCAATAGCAGCTGAGAGGAATGGAGGGAGAAGCAGCGCTTGAAATGGCCTTCAGTCAGCAGTGGGGCAGGGGGTGGCTGGCACAGGTGGAAGGACAGTGCCCAGGAGGCCTTCTCCCTGCAGGGGGGTTGAGAATGGTTGAGGGTGTGGACACCAGATACATAAAACAGTTTCTCCAGGGAGGCTGAAGTCATGATTTAGGGGCATCAAGTATCATCCTCCTATCAGCCTCTCTGATGCCCGCCACCCCCACCCCTGGGTGTTCCCTGCCAGGCCTAGGTGTCCAGTCCCACATCTCCACACAGGACTGCTCCCTGTCTAAGCCAGGGATCCCTCTTCTGTTCAAATGTAGCAACCCCTGGGCTCTAACCTTGCTGCTGTTCTATCCTGACAGGTGCCTGCCCTAGAATAACCGTGGGTGAGGGAGAATGTGAGTTGGATTGGTAAAGAGCCCCAGGAAAGACTGAGGTCATAGGTTTCGGGTCAGTGGTGATCTTCTCATCCATCCCTTTCACTTGGTCCACTGAATCTTGGTCTTAAATCTTTGTGTTTTCCTAGCACCTGAGTGATAAGGGACTATAAATGCTGGGATTTGCAGAGGACCAGTAAAACACCTAGGATCGGTCCAGGAGATGGAACAAACAGGAGGTCGTATGAGGTTAGTGTAAACTGTATCATTTGGTGTTTTCCCTTGCCTAAGGCTAAAGTGTTTCCCCAGCCCCAAATTTTAGCCACCTTTCAGACTAAAGGAGTAACTTGTTTATAAAACAAACAGGGGATATCTATGCATTAATAAATACAGGGCTGAAAGGAAAGGCAAGAAAAGGCTAAATGTATGATCGTGGGTATTGCTGAGAATGTCTACAAGGATCAGGAGGGGAAATGGGGGGAAAGCAGGAAAGACAGACAGACAATAATACAATTAGCTTCAGCAGAGAAGTGAGAGAGAATAGAAAAGAAGGGAAGAAGGGCTCAAGTATATATAAAGGAGCAACAGAGAAGCCAGCTTTAAAGAGGAATCCTGACAGAGAAAAGGGAGGTGTCATTTAAAATTTGCCTCTGAAGCCAAACCACCAAGACAAAAATTCTGTGTTGTTCCTGATACTTTCTAGACTGAGTTCTTCTAGAACTTAATGCCTAAAAAGAGAAGGTTGTCTCGCTTGACCAGCCTGTATGCTTCTTGAATCAGACACCGGGAAGCTTCTCCTTCGCCCAGGCTGCCCAGGGGCTCAGGGCCAATTTCAGCCCTCAAATGCAGAAACGCTTTCCTATTCCTCCCTATGGGTCTGGTTCCTCTCGTAATTCCAGTTTGTGCTGTCCCATGCTTTTAGCTGTGATTTTATTTTAAGGTGACTTAAAGTCATTTTTGGAAGTAGATTGGGCATGAGTCCTAAATATAGAAACGTAGCTAATGTGGGTTAGTCTACAAGAAAGTAAAAGAAGCCTGAGAGGGATGAAAAAATGAGGGAAAGGGAGAGAATGAGAAAAAGCAGAAGCCGAGGTGAGTGAGACGAGTGTGGAAACAGTCTGTGACGGGGACAGGTGGTAGCTTTTGGGCAGTCAATGCGACACAGACGGAAGGGTGGAGCTTTCGTCTCCAGCTCCAGGAACTAATTCTTCCTGCAGGAGCCCAGCTCTGGCCTACTTCTCTGCTGTCCCCGACCTTCCTGTTCCCAAGAAGTCCACCCCCAGCTTCCAGGGCGGGTTCAGTCCCGGTTCCTCGCTCCCTCCCAGGTCTGGCTCTGCAGCCTGTCCTTGGAGAATCTCTGCAGCCCCAGTTCTCGGGCGGGTTCAGAGATAAGAGTTACCTGTGGCTCACCTGCTCCCTCATTTTTAAATGAAACTCCCCCGGACCTCCTGAGTGAGGCGCACGGCTTTGTTCTGGGACATAAGGAAAGGAGACAGATAATGGACAGCCATGGAGGAACCAAACTTACAAGGGACTCTCCAGGGAGGGCAGT